CCAGGCGGTTTGTCCCCCCCCCCCCCCCCCCCAAAAAAAACACATCGGAAAGTGGACCCTGCAGGCTAACATATTCCATCTACAGCTTGGTGATACACCCGAACACATACAGAAAGCACCGGTGAATGAAACCCGGGTCGCGCAGGCCATTGGAGGGGGAGGCAATACGAGCGATGATGACCTCCAAGCAAGACTAGACAGCCTTCGGCGATGATTACGACTTTCTCTCTTATATGCCATTGATGACAGAGGTGATAAAGCGACCTGCCGTTTTGAGCCTTAATTGAGTTTACCTGCCTCGTTGTTTTTATTACCATACCTTGCAAGAAATTTTTATGCTGCCTACATACCAATATTGAATCCATTTCCTTTCAACTCGCATTTTTCTCGACGCGTTAAGGGCATCTAGACGTGGAGTAGATAGTTTTACATAAAACCACATTATATGCTCGGCGGCAAGAAAATATTCATAAGTCAAAATCATTGATTGCTATCCAATTCAATTCAAGTAAGTCCCAACTGTTTGAAACACCATTCTCGACAGACAGGATAGGATAGGAAAGCCTTAAGGCGATGCCTCTTGAGGAGGAGGAACTTGTTCATATTCAAAACCGTCAGACTCAGAAGAATATTCAGAGTAAGTCAGAAGAATTATATCCCGGGCTGTTAAGGATGGGGATTGACATATCGTGTTCCAGTGATATACTTGGCCATTGGAAACCCCTTCGACCATCTGCACGGTTTTTATCATGGAATTTCTTGACAAAAGGTCTTTTTAAAGGGCGCCCAGACTCGAGTTCTTCAGCGGACCAGCGAGAAAACCAGGGAAAGGACGATAACTCTTCCAACGACGGCCGCTCGGACTTTTCTCTAGACAATGTGGCCTGTAACACATCCCTGCAGTCCTGTGAGAGTGATTCGCTGATTGATACATCCTCGTTGACCATTCTCTTGCGTCTGCGTTTGACTATTGGATAGAACGGGTCATTGTAAGGACCATCATACCTAGCGTGCCAGTTCAAACTTTTCGGCACTGGTTCAGGCTCATCCCAGGGCCAGAAGCCATGCAGAAACCCATAAACGAGCGTTGAATATTTCCACAGGCAAACGTCCCGCTGGTCAAGAGGCAAGTAGATCTTTTCGATGGAGACATCATCATGGCATGGATCCCTCCAAGTGTCGTACTTCTCCAGTTCGATGGCTCGCTCAGGCATCATCTGGTACTCATGGTAGGGGATAAAGTAGTCTATATCCCTTATGAACCCGGATTTATGCAGCGAGAAGTAAATCATTCCAAGATCAATTAGTTGAACGTTCAGGTTTTGGTCCACGAGATAATTTGTCACTGACATATCAGCATGGCAAACGTTCATGTCAGCCAACTCTATCATAGCTTGTATAAGCTGCGAAGCAACTTTGCAGCCTTCTGTTTCCCCCAGTTGAGGTTCTTTGGTAGTTGTGGACATGAGATAGCTGCCATCAAAAGCTGGAAACGGGGGATATCTCTTTCGGATGCGCGGCGGTATGGCCCCGCTTGACTTGATCCTGTTAAAGTGATCCTCATTAATAATTGAAGTAGCTTCATAGCTAGGATCAACACAGGGAGTCATGAGAATTGCTGTTAGCATACCGTGAGTGTAAACTGAGTTGAGCCGCGGGAACCTTTCGCTATCGTCGAGATAGATTAGAAGAAGGGCTTCTTCGGGCATATATCGTTGCTCTCCATTAGCCTCGTAGAAGGGCGCCATCTGAGCATTTACTCCCGATAAACTGTCCATCCACTGTGTTGTGTGGACTTGAGATTTGATTGCGTATTGTTCAAGGTCTTCCAGGGAAACAACAGCAGCGCCTCTCTCGCGAGCAATAAATGTGGCACCAAATGCTGCGATCAGTTAGCAATCAATACAAAAGACATCAGATCAAAGGGAGGGAATGGTCTTACTTCCTGCGCCTATGAATCCATATATCTGCACCCGCTCCTTAAGGTCTGGACAAAGGCATGCCGCCTTCGCAGTGGTCCTCCCCCCAGCACTCAAGCGGATGAAATCATCATAAGAAGTGCTGTTGCGCTTTTGAAACACTTCGCTGTCGCATCTGTGGCCTGAGTCGTCCCGGCAATTACATCTCGAGAATTCCTCGTTATTCCGTTTGCCAAACGCCAGCCCTAGACGTTCTCTAAGAACCTGGCTCACTTGGGGATACCTCTGGGACAATGGGCTTGAGGGATCCAAAAGATCTTGGGCATTGTAAGAGAAGATATCACTGTAGTCCTTGTATTGGAATTCACGGACCTGCGACACTGGACGGTGTAAGGTATGATTCCCCTTGATTGCGCCCAAGTCTCTCCCTAGGATGTAATCAAAAGCGTAAGGATCCAGTGGATCGACGTCCACCTGTTCAGTCATGGTATTTGATTAAACTAGTCAATTCGAGAAAAGTGGTGTGTGCAGAGTGGAGGGAAGTCCAAGGAGTGAAGGAGGTCATTTATATACGACCCTCAAAGGGGATTCAGGGTATTGTGCTTAGAATAGAGAGCCAAAAGTTTTATGAATGAAAGAGATCCCTCGACACAGTTCCTTGTGAATATCAAAAAGTTATTTCCATTTTTAGAACGATGAACAAAGAACCCAAAGTCACCTAGAACAGAATTCCGTTAAAATCGCACAGATGTCATGTCTATCAGATGATGTTCGTATATCTATAAATAACATAATCAATAATCAATCAGCCGGGCTCTAGCCAGCCTCAATGCACCCGGGTGAGAAACGAAAACCGAGATAAAAGTCAAATCCGAGAAAATGGTATACATAAATAGCTGTCACTATTCTTATCAAAGGCCCAGATTGTTCCTAATCACTGATTTCCCTTTCAAAGGAAGAAACAAAGAACTCATTCCAGAGCAATGTCTGCCCTTAACACCGACAACAATTCGACGCAAATCTCAAACACTCCAAGCACAAACCCATCGTCTCCGATCGATCATTCGCAATATGCCCAGAAAGACTCTGACTCCGAATCAACGAGTCCTGTCTACGGGGGCTTCACCTTTTTCCAAGGCTATGTCCAAACAAAGTGCAACCTAGGCCTGTAACGGACAGTCATGCATCCGAACCAGGACGAATACTTCAAAATTGTTCAAAAAAGGGCAAATCAAAAAGTCTGCAGCGCAGCAATACCAGAGTCTATCCTCCGATACCAGGGGAGCCCATATAAATCAACTGATGGACGAACAAAGGCACAATAATCCACTTGTAGAGAGGAGCTGCGTCTATGTCAAAGAAACCAAAAAGATATCCAAGGCCCGAATGCTCGTCGCGGTGACTATGTAACGTTCTCCATGGATGTCATCATCATGCGAAGGCCTATGAAGACACAAGCATATTCCAGGGCCTCTATGGGTGGTCTAGTGGCCAATGGGAAACCTTTTCGGCCAGATACAATTCACCTACGTGGTCTCATTACAGAGACCATCATCCTCTGACACCGGATCAAAATGGGAATATCTTGCGGCCCATACTTCAAAAGCTGCCTTCCCAATTGGCTCTGGAAACGAACCCTTTCGCACGTTTGAATTCAGCTCGAGGGCCTGCCTATGAGTATCCGAATGGCCAGTTTGAAACCACAAACCCCGATGTTGAGACAAGTCAACAGGATCGCGAGACCAACTGCATGAATCCGCCTGGTCAACTGCAGCCAGCAGCCATCAGCAATAGACCAGCAAGTCCAGCCTTCAGTGCCAGAAATAGCAGCGACATGAGCTTTGAACATACTTCAGATTGTTCATCGGAAAGTAACAGCGACCCAGATGATGCATGTATGCTTACTGACCAATCCGACGAATTATCTGCAACAGACGACCCAGAAAGCATGGAGCCCGACACCGAGACGAGACCGAGATCGAGCGTCAGGACCCACAACCAAATAAGACATCTCTCCAACAACAGAATGCCAGTCATTGTCACGGCGAGTGGATTTATTGGGCTTATTCTCGCTGAAAGTCCCAAAGCCGCAGCCTTAATAGAAGATATGACAGGAATAATTATCCTCTCCGCGAGCAATCTGAGGTGTCTCCAGTCAACATTCTTGGTTCAAGACGGGCTGAAAGGGTTCGGTCAGGCTTACTGCCTGGTAAAAGATATCGAATGCTGCTGATGAACGACAATGACATCCGAAGCCGAATGCTTGATCACCATGAAGCAAGTCTTGGACACCGGGAGAAATGGCTGAAGAGAACCCTTTTTGGAGCGCGTAAGCTTCAGTGTCGTCAACCGGTGAGGAAGAATCTGCCAGCATTTTGTCGCTGTAACTGTCGTTGTGCGATGAAGAAGAAGAGAGAAGCTGTGTGATTGATTCATTCTATTGGTTCTGGCATCTTTTGATATGACTACTAGTTTATTCTACTGTGAGAGGAACTGTTCTCAATTGCACAGTCAATTTGAAATAATCATTGCCAGACCCTACAAAGTAGGTATAGAATAGTGTTCACCCTTTCATGATGTTCGGTCAATTGAGGAACTACCACGTAGATCCCCCGGTGAGCCCCGAGACAGATGTCATAATTGGCACCTAATAATTCAGGCAACAGGCCGACGTGCCCCTCCATTTATCCAAGGTTTGTTTCCCTTCGGCACCTCCAGTCTTCTTCCTCTTCCATAGCTATCAACATCCCTCAAACTTCTTCTTTCTCTCTTCAATCCCCCACATAATTCTTCAATATGCCTCGCCAATTCTTCGTCGGTGGTAACTTCAAAATGTACGTTATCTCGAGCTTCGCTACCCCGCGGTCCCAAGCCCCTCAATCCTTAGCTATGCCTACTCGTTCCCCGAAAGACCGCGCAATTGACCCTAAAAAGGAACGGTGTTGCCCAGAGCATCACTGACATCGTGAAAAACCTGAATGGCGCCAAGCTCGACGACACCACCGAGGTCGTCATCTCTCCCCCCGCCATCTACCTCGCTCTGACCCGCGAGCTTGCCAACTCCAAGATCGGTGTTGCTGCCCAAAACGTCTACGACAAGCCCAACGGTGCTTTCACCGGCGAGATCAGCGTCGAGCAGCTCCGCGATAACAAGATTAACTGGGCTGTCATCGGCCACAGCGAGCGCCGAGTGATCCTGAAGGAGTCTGACGAGGTATGCACACCCGCAGATCCCCAACCCCCCCAACCATCCGCAAACACGAGAGCCAAATGAAGCATAAACTAACTACTGCTCAATAGTTCATTGCCCGCAAGACCAAGGCCGCCATTGAGGGCGGTGTCTCTGTCATCTTCTGCATCGGAGAGACCCTTGAGGTACGTCATTACTACCCAGTTTTCGTCCGATAGTGGGTCATCGGGTGAAGACCGGCTATATGTCTTTTGAATACGTCCCGCTCACACCCGATTCCTTATGCAGGAGCGTGAGGGCAACCAGACCATCGAGGTCGTCACCCGCCAACTTAACGCTGTCGCCAAGGAGCTGAGCGCAGAGCAGTGGGCCAAGGTCGTCATTGCCTACGAACCTGTCTGGTATGAACTTACCCATTTGCCTTGATATCAATATATCCCTCCACATATCTGACAGCTATTTGTAGGGCTATTGGCACCGGAAAGGTCGCCACCACTGAGCAGGCTCAGGAGGTCCACGCCGCTATCCGCAAGTGGCTCGGCGAGGCCATCTCCGCCCAGGCTCAGGAGAACGTTCGCGTCATCTACGGTGGCTCTGTCAGCGAGAAGAACTGCCGTGAGCTCGCTACTCAGCCCGATGTTGACGGTTTCTTGGTTGGCGGTGCCAGCTTGAAGCCTGCCTGTAAGTTCTTAGCATATGCCCATCTTCTGACACTATTCACCAAATTGGTACTGACAACATCTGCAGTCGTCGACATCATCAACGCCCGCATCTAAAGGGGTTCCGAAAGAAACTAATACCCCATAGTACCCCTATTATCAGAGTAAATAGCTCCGTGATGTAGGCGTCAGAAGACAAAATCTTGGAATGTCAAATATGTTATCATGAATCTATGTACAATTCCGAACTATATTTCGATAACACATAATCGTTGCTACCCCAGCGGAGCAATTAATTCCCTGGCCAACCAGACCGCCCAATGACATACAAAACAAGCGGCCTTAGAGAGCACATAACCTATGAAGAGTATAAAACTGAGACCCCAACTCCACGCCAATACGACATCCCAGGACCGCCTCCACTCGGGGCCGAACCGCTGCCCGAAGCCGATGAAACAGAAGGCGACAATGAGAACGAACCCGGGCCCAGCCCGACACCCGCGCTCACCAGAAGCTCCTTAACCCGGCCTTCCCAGAGAAGCCGCAAATTCCAAGACTGGTCAATGCGCAGCTTAATGACCGAATCACTCGTCTCGGCCTCGGTGTGCGCGTTGGAGCTCACCGGGCCCTCGGGGCGAGCCGGGTCCTCTAGGAGCGGGGAAGCCGGTGAGCCAGGCAGGGAAATGCCGAAGTCATGCATGCGCATTTTGCGGCGAGCCCACTCGAGATCGTCGTCATTGGAGGAGCTGGACTTCTTAGTTCGACGCCACAGCTCGCAGCCAGCGACCATTTCGCTCTCCCAGCTGTATACGTTAAAGCCAAAGCGGGAGCTGAAGGCGATATTAGGCGAGGCGCGGAGAGAGTAGGTTGTAGATAAAGAGCCCACAATCGGGGCCAATGTCAGTGTTAGAGTGTAGGGGAAGGTTGAGATGGGTGTTCGGGTGCTGGAAGGTGATGATGATGGCGGAACCTGTGTGGCTGCGGGTAATGTGGTGAATCGTAGGCCGGTTGACATGCCAATCAGCGATGAGATAGGGGAATAGTATGCCTCTGCGCCTGCGGAAAGGAGGGATAATGGCGGCGGGATGTCGCGAGTGTCTCGAGGATCAGGGCCGAAGTTCCAGAGTCCGCGCCAACCGAACAGGGCGTTGTCAGTGCTGAAGAGGTACTCATTGCTGTACTTGCCCGTGTCGTGGGATAGCTGAGTGAGCATTGAGGCTTGTGGCGCGGACTTGGATTGGGGCGGTCCCTGAGTCGAGCAGACAGCTAGCGACAGCTGCATATTGGTAGAGATTCTGCGTAGAAAGAGCGCATATAGAGTGGAGGGAGGTGGAAGATGGAGAGAAGCATGGAGCAGAGTAGCTTTCCGTTTTGCCTCACTTCCTCTGATATTTTCTTCATCTTTAGGATTTTGTGGTTCTGGGCGACTTCCATCTGTGAGCCCGGGAATGCTCACGCCGTCTAATAGCGAGTCCCATCCCCAGGTCTGGATCGGGGCCGCGGGGGCCTGCACCTGCCGGTATCCCGGGGATATCTTTCGAAGCGGGATTGAAGCACTTCCACTTGGTAGGTTTTCGAATGGCACAGTACTAAATAGATATGACACAGATCCATCGAGCAATCCAACGGTGCCGAGTGTGTAACTGGTCGCAAAATGGGGAGTGGACAGTGACGAAAGGTGAACGCGCAACCGTTCGGGGGTCGAGAAGTCGAGGATCGCTGCACCAAATATGTTAGGCCTATGTTAGACCAGCAATCTGCCTATCCTAGAGAGAGACTTTCGAGGATAGATCAATTACGTACACTGAGCGGTAGTGTTGATTGACGAGTACGAGTTGTCGCGATTCCAGTGGGTCGCCTCGGCGAAGGATAGCTGGATGTAATCCATAAAGTCCAGCATTGTCCGGACTCGGCCTCTGCAGGCGGCAGTATGGCCAGCACCGTATATTCAAAGAAACAACAATTGAAGCAAGGGCAATTGTAATGGACTTGACCCTGAGCGATCACAGCTGATTGCCCCATTTAGGTTAGCGTTGGATAAGCCCGGCAGTAGGTTAATCCGGTTATCAGCGAAGAAAAAATGTCTGTGGGGGAAACATCTAACCTTCTGTCTGAATTCATTGAACCCCCAATTCTAAAATCATAATTCAAAATGCCTCGTTCAAAGCGTGCGCGCGTCGTCCACGAGTCGAAGACTGCCAAGAAAGATCACAAGGAGCAGACCCGCCGGTTGTTCGCCAACATCCGGGAATGTATTGAAGAATATGATCATCTTTTTGTCTTTGCGGTCGATAACATGCGGAACACCTATTTGAAGGATGTGCGCACTGAATTCGCTGACAGCCGGTAAGCATCATTACTCCGATCGGAATTAGCTTCACATATTGAATCAGAAAAAGCGGTCGAAGACCGGCGGTGGATCTGATACCAAATATTGATATGCAAATCATCAAGATCGATTGTCTGACAATGTTAGTGTTTTCTTCGGCAAGACCAAGGTCATGGGAAAGGCCCTTGGCACTGATGTCGAAAGCGAAGCCGCTCCCAACCTGCGCAAACTTACTCCTTTCCTCGCCGGCGCCGTCGGACTGCTCTTTACCTCCCGCACTCCGGAATCAGTAATCGACTATTTCGAGAACTTCCGTCCCCAGGACTTCGCCCGCGCTGGAACCGAAGCCACGCGCTCGTTCACCATCCCCAACGGCCTAGTCACTGCACGGGCCGGCGAGATCCCTGCTGAACAGGATGAGCCTGTCAGCCACACCATTGAGCCCGCGCTCCGCAAGCTGGGCGTGCCCACCCGTCTGGTGAAGGGCAAGGTCATGCTTGAGTTGACTGAGGGTCAGGAGGGCTACCGTGTATGCAAAGAGGGAGAGACTCTGGACTCACGACAGACTACGTTGATGAAGATGTTCGGTATCACCTCGTCCGAGTTCAAGGTCGATCTCAAGGCCTATTGGACGCGGAGTACTGAGAAGGTCAAGATCCTCGACAGTGAGGGTGGAATGGACGTTGACGCATAGATGGGATCTTTATATTTTTCCGTTTTTCCTTTCTTCTCTTTCTCATTCGGCTTCCGTGTGGCCGGAAAAAAGAACTCTGCTGGGCATCTTATGGAGTTTGGTGAGGGCGCTTGCTTTGCAAATATATTGAAGACTTGTGTGTTTTATCTCTCTTTTTCTCGTCCTTATGTGGGGGCCTTTCCCTCCTGCTGGAATATGAGCCTATGACAAGATTCGGATACCAAGTCGAAAAAAGTTTACAAAACCACCTCGTTCTTGGACATTGATCAACCGTAGTGCAGAATCCCTAGCTGTATTGCCTAGACTTTCATCTATCTAGTGAGATACCTGCCTTCAGTTATTTCACATGGTCCTTACCTGGTCTTACCTGATGGCTCACCAGATTCCATTCCGCGCGGAAGAGGACCGACTAAAATACAAATACTTACCCCTGCAGAGAAAACAAAATCTCGTAAGACCAAGGGGGAGAAAGGACAAAAAGAAAAAGCATTGGAACACAGATGAAGAAAGAAAACACCAAGGGAAAGAAGAATAGATAACGGGGAATACAAGCACAATTCATGAGTCTCTGTCTGCCGGGGTGCAATCGGACCAAGCAGGGGATGTAGAAAATAGCCACTTTGACGTTTTGATGTTGATATCGGGTGTGAGGTGTGGAAAACATTGACGGTTGTGATCGTTACAACGGACTGAATTGCACATAGGCCAATTCATGAATTACCCCCTTACCCTTGAGAAAGAGTGACGAAAACTGGGTAGATCAGTGATACCCACCAGGAAACCCAGACTTTATCGGAAAGAGGTAAAACCCGGGCATAAGTGAAGGCTTAGTACCTTCTCCTGGAACGGGGGTCATCGTATCCGGGTTCATCCTCACGGTTTCGCTTGCGTCCATAATCCTCCCGGCCGCCGCCGCCATACCTGTCACCACGTTCACGGTCCCGGTCCCGGAATCGGTCTCCATTGCGGTCTCCCATGCGGTCACGATCACGATCTCTGTAACGGTCATCGCGGTCATAGTCGCGGCGGTCACGGTCAGCATAGCTATCTCTAGGCCGCACAGGCTCCGAATTGCTGCCGGTTGCACCACGGTCGAATCTGCCTCCACCGCGGTCACCGCCGAAGCCACCACCTCTGAAACCTCCGCTGCGTCCACCGCCAGGGCCGGAGGGCGCGTTAGGGGGAGCCTGTCCACCGAAGCCGCCACGGTTGCCCTGGTATCCGATACCGCCGCGAGGACCGCCAAAGCGATCACCGCCACCGCGGAAACCTCCTCCACGGTAACCTCCACCTCTGCCACCGAAGCCCCCGCGGAATCCGCCTCCCGGTCCAGATGGTGCGTTGAAACCAAGCCCACCGCGAGGCTGGACCTTGGTGTATCCGCGCCCTCCGAGGCCGCCACCAAGGCGACGGGGCTTCCACCCCTTGGTGGTGCGGCCACGCTCGACATCCACCACGACTGGTCGTCCTCTGATACTGAAGTTCTCTGTGTCTTTGTAGGCCGCTAGTATTGGGGAAGAACTGGTGTCAGCAACATGTCTTACCACAAGACAGATAAACAAGTGAGTTTAGTGCCAAGTAAATTGGCGTGGTGGTGATACCTTTCATATCTTTCTCGCGCTCAAACACGACGAATCCATAGCCTCGGTGGGGTTTCTTTTTCTTGTCTGATACTGTATCTTTGACAATGGTAATCTGTCACCACAATGTTAGCGCTGCTTATTTTCACAAAGCGTAAGGGAGAAAAAGACATACTCTTTCAATGGGACCGAATCGGCCAAACTCTCGTTCCAGGTCGGCTTCTTTGGTTTCATAACTGAGACGTGAAACAAAGATGGTTTTGAATGGGTCACCTCGAACTTGAGGATCTTTGTCCGGATTGTCTTTAAGACATTGACACGTTAGCGTCTTAAAACATAAGGAAAAAAGTGAACGGATGAAGCATACAGTTTTGCAGTCCTTCCGCTATCTGCTTCTCTAGGTTCTCTTTCTTCTCAACTTTCTCGCGCAATTTGCGCTGCATCACGCTTTCGGTTGCATTGTAGGGAACTTCCTCAGCGAAAGCTTTAGCATCGGCCAGGAACTGGGAAACTCCAGAGATAGTGCTCTTTTGGCAGTCATCTGGTGCGCGATCGCTTGGAGGCAGATATCGAAGGGGTGGACGGGGCTGGAATAGTGCCAAAAGTGGCGGGGGTAGCTTGTCCGTCATGCTGAGTTGCGAACCCAATGCAGACAAAGGCGAAAGGGTGAAGTAAAGATGATGTGTGGAAGTTGAGTGGACCCTCAGGAGTGAGAGCTTCGCGTCGCAGTTCTGGTCTTAGCATCGAATGATGGAAGTCGCTGCAAACGCTATTGGTGCGCGGGGCTTACCGCCCTTACCAATCACGTGCACCAGAAAATGCCCGGGAGAGCCATCGCGGCTTGTAAACTACAACGATAACTATTGACGACTAGAAAGATGCCGTTGCGCGGAATTAGAACATCTACAGCAGCCAGGGTATGTGCAGTCCAGGCCTTCGATATTCAATTGCCAAACTGACCCAGGTGATCTGCTTAGAACGGCGCCGGTGCCTTCATCCTACAATGCAAACGCCTTGACTTCCATTACTGCAACTGGGCGGGCAGCTCAAAGGGCATGGTGTAGGTAGCCTAAAGCGTGCAAATTCTCTTTCCAGAATCATCTGTACTGATATTGAAGGTCATAGTGCTTTCTTGGAGAAGACCCTCCCCACCTTCGCCCGCGAAAACCCTCAGATTGAGATCCGTGTCTCTCCCCGACCCCAGAAACACCCTCTGATTAAGGGCCTCTACATAAATGGCCGTGAGAAGCCTGTATGTGTACGGAACATGGAGCCCCACGAAATCCTCAAGAAGGCAAACCTCCTCAAGGAAGCCAGTGGAGAGAAGTTGAAGCGGGTCAAGAAGCCGGTTACAAGTTTGAATGAGAGTGTGCGTGGTATCTGGTCACCATACCATGGTGATCTTCGGGGTGTCTAGACGGAGGTGTTTTGTTATTTATGGTTCTTGTTCTCTCCGCGGCAGTGACTGTCAGGTATCCCCACTGCGACTTACTGTACTATTGACCTGGGTTCTGTTTTATTTCTTTCATTTTTGTCTATTTGCTACCTGAAAGCCAATGGTGTTTCAAAACCCATATTTTATGCATACGCACTCGAGCCTACATGAATTTGAAGACAACAAGTCTGCAATGATTAACTACTACTCAAAATTAACTACCTATATTCATATTCAAGTGTGTCACTTTTTGATTTTGTGTTGTGATTGAGAGATGTTGCAGGACGTCTAGATAATACATATGTCACTACGCGTACTTGATTTCCTCTACTGGGTCAGGCTTTCCTATCTTAGCTGCCGCCGCTTTAATAAGGGCGCTCAGAGTCAGGCTCACTGAGTGAATTTCAGTCCGGGCTCAGACTCACTGATTACTCAGAGTTTGATCAGAGGCATCTAATGAGCACTCAGTCCACGTTCAGTCCATACCTAAAGGAGCACTGGGCCCCACAATTCTGTTTATTCGTGTATTACTTTTGATGGCCCTAAAAAGCGTCAATTTCCAATTTCTTAAGGGGTTCCATGCTCCGTTTTCACCCCCAATCTCGGCCCGCTTAAAACACGCGATGGGGTTAGGTGACGCAAAAATTGAAGGTGCGGCTTTTATCTGACATGCAGTGATGCAGGAGGAAGATTCCCTTGCCATTTTCATCTCGGCTGCCTTTACTTAGACTCTTAGGTATAAATTGAAGCTACAATCCCTCCCTAAAGCACTAGCACACTCTTTCTCTATTCTCTTCTCTTTTTCATCGTGATTCATCCCTATCTTAGCGCTGCCTACCTTAGTCATGGGTCGGAAGCTCTTCTTTACTACAAAAAGATGAGATTGCTAAAGAGAAGCGCTACAAACAACTAGAAGAGAGCGGCTATGTCTTCGGCGCTCATACAGATAAGGATTCCATTAGTATCCTAGTGGTTATAGAAATAAGGTTATCTATACTTACTATATATAGTAACGTAATCGGTAAGCGAGCTGCGCATGGAAGGGAGCTGCGCAGCCCAAAACACATAGTAACTCTACACATAGATCTCAACAACATCCACCTATTACCTTAGTTTATCTCTAGTCGATGGCTATTGACAAGGCTTGCGGACTCTACATATCAATCTTAAGGGAATTTAAAACCTGTATTGTTGTGGTAACGAAAATTACCGTGCTCCGAGTTAGAAAGATATATCTACTCAACCCCTAGGCTTCGGAAATTCTTAAAAAGTCCCTCAAAAGGCTAGATATTATCTAAAAGATGGTATGCTATAAGGGGAAGTCTTTATAGATCATTATTGTTGAGATATCAAGTTGTAATTTATCATTTACTAGTCGGGCCGGCGAAAGGCGCTATAGGACACTATTCCTCTATAGTATTGTTATGGACATGCTAGTTGCCAATCGATGGCAACCCCACATGGTGCACGGACGGGCCGTCGAGACCCAATCAACCAGTTCTGCTGTTCATACCGCCTTCCTTGTTGGTTATCCGGGGCAGCCCCCAGATGAACAACATCACGTGACCATGACTCCCGCGGCGACTCCTGGAGTATACGCAGGAGTATACGGTGACTCCAGGATATACTCCAGGAGTATATCTAGAAGTAGGAGAACTCAGGGATATATAAGGAGACTCATTTCCAGTATCTAGTTTAGTTTTTCGTCTTCAATTATACATTATTACTTGTGTTTACCTTTGGATTATTAGTGTGACTTCTTACTTGATTATAACTTAACAACACCTATCAGTTGACCAATACCTCGGTATAGATCAATTGAGCGCTCTACCTGGCATCGTTCCTCGATACCCTCAAAAGGACCCAGTCTCTAGTAAGGCCTGTTGGCAACAGTACGGTTGAGAGACAGATCGTTGACGTTGGAGGACTGAGGATTCAGGCAAGTATAACGAGAAACCCTCTAACTAACACTAACTGTGACCAGTTTGCAGTGCGTAACAAAAAGTTCAAGTATTATAAGAGTAGTCAGCCAATTTTACAGCCTTATTAAGTGTTTTTTTTTAGTAGTATTCTAAAGTAGTCTTCTCAGATAATGTTTTTATAGTCTCTTTATAGTTTTCTTAGTAGTTTTCTTCGGTATATTAGGGGACTACAATTTCGGAAAACGGTTTGACGAGGGTTGTTTTATTTCGGCAGTTTAAACACCATAGTAAACCACTAAACAACCGTTGTCTTGAAACAACCCTATTTTTTGGGGGACATTCTTTTTTAAACAAAGGCCAGCGGAGGAAAGAAACGCGCATCGGAGAAGCCTCACCAGACGAGAGCGAGTTAGGCCGCTTCGATTGAACTGAATTGGCAAGATATCTTAGCGATGGATGGTAGGGCTCAAGTATAGTGGGATTGGGTCATCCTGGATTAACTGGTTCGAATTGTAGCTGATGCTGGCTAGAACGAGCCCGGCCGGAGGAGCACCTCCAGCGAAATGAAAGTGGTAGTGTATCGGGCTGGAGGCCCCCCATATGCTGTTCGGTGGGGAACGGAGGTAATGAAAGGGCCGGGGATGAGTGCAAGATATATGGGCCAGGAAGAGGGAAGCAGATGGAAAGAGGTGGGAGTGGCGACGGCCCTAAGCGATGGCCCTAAGCGATGGCCCTAAGCGATGGCCCCAATACTGCATATTGTGGGTCCAAATAAGCTTGTACGATCCACCATCAGGCACATGTGCACTTGGAACTAACCCGTGTAGGGTTAAAACCTTTAGATTTGAGTTCTGTCCTGACCCGTCCCCGAAGGGATTCGGAACCCTGGACACTATGATCCACTGCTGAGGTTGCATTAAGCGCCGCACTTGTGGATCCCGCCTTGAACTAACACCAAAGTCGCTGGCTATTGGATACTAAGCTCTAGCCCCTCTATATGTCTTGGATGGCTCTTATCAATCCCCCTTAAGTCAAATAGGGATACTGACAAGTTTTCTCGGGGAATGAAGACGCCCCCACTTGGACCTTTCTCCTTGTGGGTCGTGATGTCGCTTTACGGGCTTTTGCTCTGGCATCCTGCTTCTGTTTTAGCTGGCTCATCTTTCTATCACATGTTCTGGGTCGATTAGAGGCCGATCCTGATGCAACATGGGGGCTGGGCAGTCGAAAAAACCAGGACGAGGCTGTCCCATATTACTAGCTCTTCATGGATCAGAGTGGATGTACGTGGAGACCAGGCATCAAAAAATCAGAAAATCAGTAAATATCTCACTGAAAAGCTCGAGGTGAAAGTCCCGAGGTCGGTTCTAGATATTACTTATGCACTTCCTGCTCAGGTATTTTACCAGCGAGAATGCCAGAAAAGAATGCTTCTCAATTCTATGAACATTTCAAACCTATGAATTTCTATCCTACTTCATCAATATATTCCCTCGACGATGCATCTGGCAACTCTTGTCTGTTTCTGTATTTCAACTGCCTCCGCAGTGAAGCATTATAGCTTGACACCCGCCATGGACGTGCAGAATATGGTCGAAAATCACGCTTGGGGGTTGTTGGGAAATGATATGAACCTCACCTCCTTGTTCACGACCGACCATCATAATTCCCATGATGGAGCCGATTTTCTAGCAGCGGAGCTGGGTATCTTCAACAAGACTATTGCCGAGCTTTTCCCCTCGCCTTCCTTCGACTTTGGAGACGGTCCCTTTCAAGCCAGAAATCCTATCAACGATAAATGCCAGGGCCATGGCAACATTCAAGATAATTTGAGCGAGAATCAGATTACAGCCGTGTGTGCTACTGTAGCTGCAGGCGCAGCCGGCGGTGTAGGCCAACTTATTGCTGTCGTTGATAGCAAGCTTTGCGTTGAGGCTGGTACTGGTCATCCACTACCCTCATGCAAGAGTATTTTTGCGTTCATCCAGACTTCTGGCACAACATTTACTGGTGTCACGGTCAATGCCTATTGCCCTCAATTCCTCAGTCTCTTTGTGTCGTGCCATGACTCTGATACAAAGGCCACCGCAAGAAGCACAGTGCCTTCGAGATGACTGGATTCAACTCTCAGAAGGACTACCACTGCAAGGGCGACCATGAGGGTGAGAAATGTATCACAACGAATGTGTAAAAGCTTGCTGGTATATGCATGACCCTATAGAATGTATACTACCTGCGAAGCCCATCAAACTGTCGGTTTTGCCAAAACGTTCCTAGGGACTTGGTATCATGGATATGTACATACACTTTTGTATATAACAAGCAGGGAGGCATCCCAGAGATGGCATCCTTGACATAATAGTAACTTGTTTAAAAATTTCGCTATGAACGCAGACACCCTCTCTAGCCACAGGATGCATTCATCAAGCAACAATCGCTAATTTCAAGGCCATTGTTCAAGACTACATGCTGCCCACGGGGAAGATTTGATAATGCAGCACACAGAGCTCAACATGTATGCCTAGTGTGATCATAATAGCGTATACTAGGTGTAAAGTCTCATCCTTGATTCCAGTTTCACTTATTCGCAAAGACGATCTATATACTTAAAGAGATTGGAACTTCCGGTAAAGAAAATTAAATAACGTAAGAAATGATGCATAAATCCCACACTGAAGTAAAAAATTGTCGGACTTGAAGAAAATGTCTTTGAGATGGATGGTGATCAGGAGAGTCAAAAAGTTAATCACATATGTCTCTACACAACCTCTCCATGAAAGACCCTGGGGCCTGGGAGCATGAGTTGGAGGGACAGAGCTGCCCTTGTCTTCAGTCTTCATATTGCTAGACATGATAATGCAACACGGTTGATGTACTAAATCAAGCACTGGGATATTAATTGAATGTTTTCGAGTCATTTGAATAAAAAGAATATGTGTTTCCTACCTATATCCAAGAAGTATTTCACTTGTATTCCGAGTTGGGGGATCGTCGATAGTGAGAATGATATTGTTGAAAGAAGAGTATGGGACTTCACAGGAGATATCACATGATACTTCCAGTGTCAAAGAACATAGGTGGTCTGTGGATGCAACAATAAACTTCTGAGGCTGCTGGGGGCCACGGTCGGATTATATATACCAGAGCGGCGCCTCTTTAGGGTAACACGTGCTTGACCGCCCTCTGGAAACAAAACCAAAAATGCCGCGAGAAATTAATCGGCCCGACTGGTCCCCACTAACGCAGGACCCATACCCGAGCTGTGTGCCCCGATAAGCTCCCGAGGTCCTACTTGCGCATATTATACAAGATTTTCAACAGCCAACATAAACCCATCCCCACGTCGACCGTGTCCCACTTTCCTTAAGCGCTTATATATCAAATATGTGCGCATATCTCCGGAACGGGAGAGACATCGGGTCCACTACTAGTGAACATTAGAAGAGAACCTCAAAGCATCAAACACTAATAGAAGAAGGGGCGCTATAAGCGAGTCATGCAATGTCACGCCGGAGGTCCGGAGAACGGATTTTAGGTCTATTATTTTCATTAGTCTCCTTTCGTACAAGGGTCGCAAATTCCAACACCGGACTTAGAATGCTTCTTTTAGCTTGGTCAACTCCATGCAGCTGCAACTACAGGGATAAGAGTGGGGAAGTGACCAATTCCATCTGGGCAAACTTACTCGGCTTGGTCAATGTCACATTTGGAACCACCAACATCCCGGTATAATGAGGCTGGCGTCCGCCAGCTTATCGCAAGATTCACAGCCAATCTATTTGACCGGTTTCTGCTTTTGCCAGTGGCATCGCATGCCGCCGCCGCAATCACAGGAGCACGCGTAATCAACCAGGGTTCGTCAGGGTTCGTCCATCCCCCTGGTTTACTACCTGTGTAATGCTCTTCCCCCGCTCTCATCTTTGGCATTTCATCTAAACGCCTTGTTGAGACGAGAAAAGTGAAGATGCAGTGCGGTATTTCTGCCGACGCTCAGTTCGGACCACGAGTGCTGCCATGTCGTCGCGAGTTCGACTTTACGTTGCTATTCGAGCAGGGCATTCTCGCCTTGGCTCCAGATCTTCTATTCCTCGCTCTATGCTTTCTTCGCTGGTACCATATCTACATAGAGCCGAAGAAGGCGCGCCGTGGTGCTACTGGCACTTGGAAAATGGTAAGCCTCCCATTTGTTTTCCTGGCCCCAAAATTAGGCTTGCAAGCTAATTTGATATCGACATACCATGCAGGTTCTTTCCACTCTCCTGCTGGTATTGAAGCTTGTTCTTCTCGTTTTGTGGTGCTTGCCGCACTTTCCAAGAACAAAGATCTCAGTTCCGTCCGCTGGAGTCGCGATGACCAGCACTCTGGCGTTGCTACTGCTATCGCTCCATGAGCATTCACGTTCACTGAGGCCTTCGAGTTTGATTTGCCTGTATTTGCTGGTGAGTACAATATTTGAAATTGCGCAAGTCCGGACTTTGTGGCTGTTACATCCTGCAAGTTATCCTCTCGCAACGACAGCTACTATTGCACTCACAACACGATCCCTGTTGCTCGTGTTGGAGACGAATGAGAAGGGAAAACACCTTAGCCTGCAATGTGGTCAGATCTCACCAGAAAGTTCAGCTGGAATCTTCAGTCACAGTACCTATTGGTGGCTTAATCGTTTCCTCATCAGTGGCTTCCGAGGCAACCTATCCCTCGATGATCTCTATCACCTAGACGAAGGACTCTCTTCCAAGTCCATCGCCTCTCTCCATCATCAGCAATTGAAGAATAACGAAGGTGAATATATAAGATATGCTATGAATAATATTGATACTGAATCATGACTGCCAGCGAAGCGCACGCAACGGCTCGCTCTTTTCCGTGATGTTATTTATGATTTGAAGTGGACAGTGGCAGCGGCAGTTGCTCCTCGCCTTTGTTTGATTGGGTTCAAGTTCGCCCAGCCCTTTCTCATTAACGACCTCATTGGCTACGTTTCCGAGAACGACTCCAGTGAGTTATCTGGGGTCAAATACGGATTCATCGGCGCGACGGTGTTAGTTTACGTGGGGATAGCAGTGAGGAAATCATACATCTTTTGCTAGCTGATGTCGTATATCGCTAATAATCTTTATCCCAAAATTTTAGGCAAGCACTGCTCTCTACAAGCGTCAAGCTATCCGCATGGTCACTATGACTCGTGGGTCGTTCGTTACAATGATATATTCGAAGACATTACACCAAGCTTCGGGTCGATGTGAAGAGGCTAGTTCGACTACGTTAATGAGCACCGATGTCGATCGGATTGTCACCGGGCTATTAAATTCCCATGAACTCTGGGCATCCCCGGTAGAGATTGTGATTGCGCTGGTGCTTCTGGGCAAATCCATTGGATACCCCTCGGTAGCTGCTCTGGGTATTGCTTTGAGTATGCTCCTTTTAAACGCGAGAATAGAAAGACATGCGAAAAAGGGTACTAATCAAAATACAGTGAGCGTACTAGGATCGTCCTATCTCGCCCCTCAAATGCGCCAAAGGCAAAAGGCCTGGGTACATGCTGTCCAAGAGAGAGTCAATTTTACTTCGGTAATACTGAAAGAAATGCGCCAGATAAAAATGTTCGGGATTGAGTCAGATGTGGTATTCAAGACACACGGCCTTCGTGAATTGGAACTACATCGATCTCTGCCCTACCGGTCAATGATTGTCGGTGTCAATGTTTTGGGCGCGTTGTCAACTGCCATCGCTCCCGCTCTAACAATAGCCGTGTACGCCGCCACACAGCTGAACCTCAGGCTAGAGACACCCAGCACTGATGTTGCCTTCACATCTTTGTCCTTGGTTTCTCTTTTGACAAACCCGGTGGTGCTGTTATCTGTGTCATTGACTAGGTTCACATCAGCTATTGGCTGTTTTGATCGGATTCAAGAATTTCTTTGCAAGGAAAGCAGAGTGAATGAGCTCACATCTGTTGACGAATATTTGGTGCCTGAGAATGTTTCAGGGATGGAGCTCACATCACTACCTACTCACTCCCAGCCTCTCGTCTGCATGACTGATTGCTGCTTTAGCTTGAGTTTGGATACCCCAGCAATACTCCATGGACTAACATTGAAGATACAACGTGCTTCGTTTTCAGTTGTCACTGGCCCTATTGGCTCTGGCAAGTCGACCTTACTCAAAGCTATGCTGGGTGAAATGCATCGCACAGAAGGAATAGTGTCTGTTCGTTCGGTCAAGATGGCGTATTGCCAGCAATCCCCGTGGATATTCAATGGCACGCTAAGAGCCAACATCATTGGAGAATCGCCCCTTGACGAAGAGTGGCTCAAAGAGGTGGTATATATCTGTAAACTGGACGTCGAAACCACAACTCTTTCTCTTGGACTCGACACCCTAGCTGGGAGCTCGGGAGGTCGGCTTAGTGGAGGACAGAAGCAGCGAGTGGTAAGTATACCGGTGATCTCATTTCATCTTAGGTACTAATCTGCGTGATTTCAGGCTTTGGCTAGAGCAACTATGCAAGACCGTCTTTGCTGATTTTAGATGACGTCTTTAGCGCCTTAGATGTAGTGACATCAAGGCTAATTTTCCAGCGAGTGCTCGGTCATACTGGCCTGGTCAGGAGGCTCGGCATTGCAGCCATTCTGGTGACAACAGCTGGTTAGCCTTACTTTACTCCTTCAATTAATTGCGGCGCTGACAATTCCCTTATTTCACCAGTGGAGCGCCTGAAAGAAGCCGATAATTTGATTGTCCTTTCAAAAGACGGCCGCATGGAAGGCCAAGGGCCCTTCGGAGAACTGGCGAAGAAGAATCAGCACATACAGAGCCTTGCATGTTCTTCAGATTGCGAAGACAGCAAGGTCAAAGAAGAAAGCAAAGGAAGTGACTCCCAGCTCGGGAAAACTCGTGAAATGAAGAAAGAAACCGGAGAAATGGCTGAAAGAGGAACCGTTCCCAAAATCTCCCGAGGTGACGGTGACATCTCGCTCTACACTTACTACATTAATTCGTTTGGTTGGTGGGCATTTGGGCTGACGCTGGTATTCGCAACTCTATACGTGTTTTGTATTGCCTTTCCACGTGAGTATTCCCACCAGTGAACATGTTCAGAGATTTGTTGCTAAAAGCCACCGGAGAGGTCATGATTAGCTGGTGGTGTGACTCAATTCCTCCAAAGAACTATGTCTATCTTGGTTGCTATATTGGCATCTCTTCCGTCGCCATCATTGCGATGGGAGTCTTTATTGGGTATGTTCGAGGCACTTCGCACTATATATGTATAGAGATATCTCATACATCTTAGGTTCTTTTTTGTCTGGACTGTTCCCAGGTCAGCTGTTAAGCTGCATAGGATCTTCCTGGAAACGATAACGAGGTTCGTAATGGAAACTCCTTTTATATCAGACTGGATTTGTTGCTGATCTGCTTAGATCACCTTGGTCAAGCCTAGCTCGGATAGATACAGGAAGTCTGATCAATAGGTAAGCCTTGGGACGTCTAATGAATAACTAAAAATTCTGAATATCTCCAGATTTAGCCAAGACATGTCTCTTCTCGACATGCAGCTTCCTGTTGCCTTTGGCATAACCCTTCAGAGTGCGAAATCTCTTTTTCCCCCAACGATAGAAAATCATTAAATGCTAACCACTGAGTAGGCCTTTTAACTTGTATTGCACAAGGGGCCTTAATCGCGACTGGATCAGGCTACATGTCTGTCATAATTCCCTTCTGCATTGTCGCAGTATGGATAATCCAGGCTTTCTACTTGCGTACTTCACGACAGATTAGACTCCTCGACCTGGAAGCAAAGGCTCCTCTTTACGCCCACTTTATAGAAACCACAGAGGGTCTAAGTACTGTGCGTGCACTTCATTGGCAACGCCAGTTTGCAAATCGAAATACCGAGCTTCTTGACACATCCCAGAGACCATTTTACACCATGTATTCCATTCAGCAGTGGTTGCAAGTTGTGTTGGACCTACTTGTTGCAGGCCTTGCCACCGTTCTGGTTGCACTGGCTGTTTTCGTGACAAAGCAAAGTAGCTCTGGAGCTGTCGGCGTTGCCCTTGTGAACTTGCTTTCATTCAACTCAACGTTGACATTGTTGATCAACAACTGGACACAGCTTGAGACTTCCCTAGGCGCAATTGCAAGAGTCAAGCAATTCGTGACTGACCCACAGCTACAACCTATTGCTAGAAGAGAGATAACTTGTCCGAAGGGTTGGCCTTGGAAAGGCCGAATGGAATTCCGAAGGGTTACTGCCTCATATGGGTGAGTCTCTCTTTGAGCATCGCTTTGAAAAGAAAATTGAAATGAAGCAAGGGACTAATATTGCTATTAGGGGGCATGTTTCCGACCCAGTCGTGAGGGATATCTCCTTTACACTGGAGGGCGGACAGAAAATTGGCATTTGTGGGCGAACTGGAAGGTGAGGCTAGAAGCCTTCTTATCAATGAGCTCGGAACTAATAGTTGAGTAGTGGGAAGAGTTCTTTACTTGCTTGTATATTCTCTCTCGTGACAATCACGTCTGGCGAAATCTACATCGACGGCATCGACATCTCAACCGTTCCCAAAGAGAAGCTCCATTCTGCATTAGTCCCAATATCTCAAAATCCCCTAATACTTCCCGGTTCCGTCCGTGAAAATATCTCCTTGGGAATATCATCGGCAATTGATGATTCGGAGATGATGTCTGCCCTGGAGGGAGTCGGGCTTTGGAATCAGATTCGCGACCATGGTGGCCTGAGCGCAAACATCGATTCAACGAATCTGTCCAATGGCCAAAAACAGATCTTCTGCATTGCCCGTGCTATTTTATCACCTGGTCGAATTGTCATCATGGATGAGCCTACGGGCGGGTTTGATGAACACACCGAGAGATTGGCCACAGAACTTCTTCGTGAGCGGCTGAAAGGACGAACTATCATCTCGATTGCCCATCAAATCAATACTGTGATGGACTCGGATTTGGTCATGGTCATAGATCAAGGCACAGTATCTGAAATGGGAGCACCGCGAGAACTTTTGCGTAGGAGAGGCATGTTTTGGCAGTTGTTCCGGGACATAAAGCGTGTCTAAATTGAAGTCAGCAAAGAGCAATTTCCAGGCTAGGTACAACAATGCAAGCAATTTCCCCGATTCACAGGGTTACAGCCAACCAGCCATGCATAATATCAACAAAAACACTACCAACAACACCTGTATCATCACCCCCAAAATCTGCCAAATAAAATTGCTGTTTCTCAAACTAGATTCGAAATACCATTTTCTACGACTCAGCATATTTTTATCTGAAAAAAGGCCTCATGCCGGGATCACGAAATGACGTCGTTTTACCTCCACCCTATTTAGCGGCGTTAGGTAAGGACACAACTTAGGTCACGGTTCGATCACGTGATAGCACTGAGCCTTATGATTGATAAACTACGAAAGCCATAACGCCACGTATAAGTCAAGAGAGTCATATATTGTAATTGGATCATCATCGAAGGAACGCCCGCCAGTTCAATGCATCTTGGGTATCGACAGAATGAGGAAAGAATATGGCCATAACACCAGAATGCAAAGGAATGCCCGCAAAATCAATGCCCAGGGTGAATCACAGATAAAGGAGGTACATGGCTGTCGGGCTGCTCACAGGTTTATTACAACCCGCAACCTGGCACTTTGAAAATGGCTTTGTCTTTGAAGCTGCCTTTTTGGACTTTGAAATGGATCGATTCCCAGCGCATTCCCCACAATAGACCTGACAAAATCATTAGTCCTGGTATTGGACTTCATCAGCTCAAGAAGGACAATACTCACATGGCCACATGGCTTTGCAATATGAATCTGTTGTTTTAGCCCTTCTCCTGCTCCCAACTCGTCTTGGCAGTTCGGGCAGAGAGGCACGTCATCTTCTGCTAAAAGTCGAGTGAATCCTTCTGGTGCCGGGCTTAGTTCTTTATATGATGATCGACGAGCCTGGGGCGCCCGCATAGGCGCATCCAGACCATAAACGCCTTCGGAGTGAATATATGCAGAGTGAAGCAACTCCAGATCACTGACGCCCTGGCGACGAAGGGAGGACCATGGCACAGCTTCTGGTAGTCTCCGCCGGCGCGTGTGAGCAGGAAAGTGCATTGGAATGCCGTGGTTGTCCAAGTATCTTGGTTCTATTGGTCTCGGCCTGACGGAAGAAGACCCGACAATCTGAACATCCCCGCTGTTAGGCGAAACATCTGTCGGATAATCCATTGTCTCCGCTTCCAGATCAATTACAGCAGGGCCATCAGCCGCAGTAGACGTGTGGTTCATCAAATCTCGTGGAAATCGTAATGGACGGTTCGGATGTGGGGTATGTAGAGGACCGGGGAATGATGTCACATTTCGTTGAGGAGGAGAATCCGGGCCATCTGTCAAGTCGATCACGACATTATCTCCAGGCGAAAGCATCACCGGGCGTCGATAGTCGAACCCATCTCGTTGTCTTCTGGGTGGCAAGCGGGTAGATTCAGATCGAGCGTGGTCGGAGCGACGGGGGTGAAACTGGCCCCAAGCGGCATCGCCGCTTCCATCATTTTCTGTGGCCATCTCACGATGTGTTCGCTAAGAGAAATAGGAATCTTGTTAGCTGGGTTCTTGGTGACCTGATCAGGTGCCCCGCCCGTTTCACGACGAATGAAGGCTTACTTTGGTCCTGGCGCCCATAAACTGGACGCCAGAATTTTCACTCATTTCAGGGCCTATTCCTGGAGTCGAAGAATGGTATTTCGAAGAAAAAGGGGAAATTGAAGTCCACCAGGGAGGTGAAATGGCAAGACTGGATTCCATCTTTGTTTCTAGGCCGAGTCGAAAGGCGGTCGAGCTTTGCCAATGTTATAAGGCGGTGTCAACTCGATAGTAAGGTGAGCGCAATGAAATTTCCAAAATTGACAGGACCAAGTGGCTCCGGCAGCAGATATTTAACTTGTTTCTGTAGAGATTTGTCGCTATCCATTACGAGTATTTCACAGGTTTCATAACAATATTTGAGCAAATAAAAGATAGAATTCACGGTCAGAATTTTTCATTCATGACTAACTTTCCCTGTGAATATCCATGGATGCCTGTGAATATTATCGTATCAAGAGCTGCAGTTTCAAAACAAACACCATTGAAAATTCAGAAGATAGCACGCTCTAATATTACAGTATTTTCCTGGTGATCATGACTGTGCCGCCAGCACTGTGACCACACCCGCCTCATTCAATGCCACGATACTCTGGGCAGCTGATCCCCAAGCAACCGAGGTAGCAGGGACTGCACTCCGAAGAGGCTCTGACCACGCCTTGGAGGCCTTAGAGTATTGCTGGACAGTCACTCCGCTAGGCCCACCAGTCAAGAGGAATTGGCCAGTGTAATCCCAGAAGATCGAGTCGACCTGGCTTCCAGTGTCCAGTACCTTGGTTTCCTTGGAGCTGCGAAGATCCCAGATCGACACAGTGGTAGACTGCGCGGCAATGGCTGCCAGATAAGTACCATTCTCAGAGAAGAACAGGCATTTGACTGGGCCAGGCATGGCATAGTCCGCGGCAGCGCCGCCCGTCTTGACATCGAAGATCTTGACTTGTCCGTCTGCGCCACCGGCGGCGATCAAGTGACCATCTGGGTGGAAGCTGACAGACAGTAGAGCTGAATAAAAGCGATTAGCATCATGTTTGGGTATATGTGCTCCATAGGCCGACTTCTTACCTGCATCGCAGAAAATCTGGGAAACCACAGTGTTTGTGGCGAGGTCATAAAGCACATAACTCTTATCGACACCAACAGAAGAAGCAATATCACCAGTAGCGTGAACTGTAACGGCAGTCACCTCGCCAGCATGGGAGGCGAAGCTTGCAACTTCAGCGCCATTCTCAAAGACCTTGACAGAGCCAGTAGAGGACCCAACAACGACCTTGTTTCCTGCCCATGTCGCACCGGTGACTGGGCCGTCTGTCTTGAGGGTCTGTAAGACACTCTTCTGGGAGAGCGAGTAGACACCAACCACACCATCAACACCACCAACAAGAGCCAGGTCACCAGTCGAGTTGATAGACAAAGCGCGGCCACCGGGGTAGAGAGGTTCGGAGGTCTCAGTTGGTTTAAATGTAGAAATAGCCTCACTTGAGGCCCAGCCCTCAGGGACTGCGCGCTTACGCCGGGTCTTTTGCAGCCTGTCCAATAGTTAGCCGTCGATTCTAAAAGTGCGATGTGGAAGAATCGATTCCACGTACGCTGCCTGTGTGTTCTCAATCCGTTCCAACACTGCCTGGGGCAAGCCCGTTGCGTCAACCTGCATAGCCTCGCCTCCGGCGCGAGTGGCACCAACGGAAACGTTCGAAAGTGCCTCGCGGGCCTCATCCCTCTCCTTCGTCAAGCGCGCGATCACCCGCACGGCGGCATCGTGCTGATAGAGCGCTGAACTTAGCTCGCGCCTTGTCTGTGCCAGATTTTGCTGCAAAGTGAAGGTCTCCAGAGCCAAAGCGTCCCATTCTTCTTGGAACACGCCGAGAAGAGACGGGATGGATGTGAGGGTCGGGGGTCGAGGTCGGACAACGCGTTGCGACTTGAGATCGATCAGATCGTCGGTGGTAAGCTCCTCGCCGTTCACGGGATCTTTGCCATGCTCGGCAATGTATGCCTCGATGAGGCGCTTCTCAAATACACTGCCTGTTTTATTATGAGATTAATGTCGTGCGAGCAAGGTGAGTTCGACTTACCGCTCTTGGTAGAGACGACGGGCACTTGAGGTGCTTCTCCGGAGACTGCGAGAAAGGTTCAGTTAGAAATATTTTCTTCCAAAGAAGAGCACAATATTGCGATTAATAGTAGGCTACTCACTAGCACAAAGCATAGTTAATTGAGATTGGTAGATGAGGGTTGATGGAGAGGACTTGACGCGGAGCGGCTCCTTGGACTTTTCGATCTGTCCTATTGCGGTTTAGTGTCTTGGGCTGAGGGCGGTCTAGTAGGGCGGACTATTGCGACCAGCGGTGACGTAAGTCGGGCAAAAGTTGTTCGGCAGAAAACTATGTTGCGCTTCCAACCTTGGAAGGGTTCCACCATAGGATATGACGTTGAAGAAGGCGGAGAGTAAGGCGGTTAACCTTATAAGCCAATCAGGTTCGGATGATGGATGGTCACAATACTCCGCCGTATATGCCAGCAGCTATCGACTTTCGCTCCCATTCTTGCTTTTGCACATAGAGATAACCTGTCTTTATGTTTTGATTGGACAAAATGGATTTCCCTCAATGATTTGCAAAAAGCGCAAAGGGCAGTACAAATACAAAGCTTCACTTGAAACTAGCAAGCGAATACAGCGTTCCCATCATGCCTAAGAACCCAAAGTTTGAATATGGTATGTCGCTTCACATCTTTCTAACTTGTCCTATGTCATTCTGATCTGTTATACAGAGGCAAAGCAGCCTGCATTTCTTCAGAAGCTCCGGGGCCACTATGGCGACAACACCGGTCGCTTGGAGCGACCTGCCTTACGACCGACCAGACTCAAGGTCAATAATGATGATGACGATGACGAGCCTACCTACCTCGATGAAGAAAGTAACGAGGTGATTTCCAAGGAGGAATACAAGGCATTGGTTGGTGAATGTGAGCCGAAAGGAGAGGATGAGGCCGGCAACTCAGCAAAGGACAACTCTACTGGCGATCAAGACAACTCCCAAGCAGAACTTCCCACCAGCAAACAGAACAATCTCACTGAGGTTGGGGGTCAGAGGAAACGGAAACAGGCCAAAGTGGTGGGTGAGGAGAAGGCCGAAGCCGAAGAAGTCCAGCCCAAGGCAACCTCGAAGAAATCCAAGAAGCCCAAGAAGATCAAGCTCTCCTTCGACGAGGAATGAGAGTCCGATAGGGCTGAGAATTAGAATACTTGCGCCAGATTCTAGGCTGTGGACATTGACTCAGCGCAAAACGTTGCGGACTCATAATGAGTCAATAGAACACGGATTACACAACGGGAATTGTATGCCGTCATAAGATTAGAGACTGACAAGGTCAATGGTCGCCATATAGAAGAATATATAGGCAGTAATGACAGTATTGAGTCTATAAGATATAGATACATCAGTTCAGAAATAATAATTGAAGTGCAGTTGAAGGTCTGGGCCAAGGGCGCATCTTTATCAGCAACTTTTTTTTGCAACCTTTTTTTTCCCTCTTGCGGGATCCAGTCGCCTTACATTCTTTTTCTACAAAAAACCTGCTCTTGGTCTCAGTATCAGCCAAGATGCCTGTGGTTAATGTCGAGCAGCTGGTCCGCCTACAGCGGAAGCCCGAGGACATAAGAAATGTGCGTGTGCCCCTCCATCCCACTCCGATGTCTGATGTCAGGGCTTTATACTAATCTCAAGCCACTAGATCTGCATTTTGGCCCACGTTGTAAGTCAAAGGAATTTCACTTTGAATTTTGCTCATGAGTTTAAAATGCTCATCGCCTTTTCTTTTGCTTTTCTAGGATCATGGCAAGACATCTCTAACGGATAGTCTTATTGCCACAAATGGCATCATTTCACCCAAGCTGGCTGGTAAGATCCGCTACCTGGACTCTCGTCCAGATGAGCAGCTTCGAGGCATCACAATGGAGTCCTCGGCTATCTCACTGTTCTTCTCCATGCTCCGCCGTCCAACCCCGGATGCAGAGCCAGTATCCAAGGAGTATCTGATCAACCTAATCGATTCGCCTGGTCATATCGATTTCAGCAGCGAGGTCTCAACTGCATCTCGTCTTTGCGACGGTGCGGTTGTGCTCGTCGACGCAGTCGAAGGTGTCTGCAGTCAGACCGTGACAGTCCTGCGACAGACTTGGGTTGAGCAGTTGAAGCCGATCTTAGTTATTAACAAGATGGACCGCTTGGTAACAGAGCTGAAGATGAGCCCCGCCGAGGCTTTCTCGCATCTTAGTCGACTTTTGGAACAGGTCAACGCTGTCATTGGTAGTTTCTACCAGGGCGAGCGGATGGAAGAAGATTTGCAGTGGCGTGAGCGTATGGAAGACCGTGTCAACGCCGCAGCAGCTCGGGACCAAGATAACAAAAGGTCGTTGGCAGACGATGAATCTATCACCGAGGGAACTGAATTCGAGGAGCGCGACGACGAAGATATTTATTTTGCGCCTGAGAAAAATAACGTTATCTTCTGCAGTGCCGTCGATGGCTGGGCTTTCACAATCCGACAATTCGCCGCTATTTACGAGAAGAAACTCGGAATCAAAAGGACAGTTCTGGAGAAAGTGCTCTGGGGTGATTATTATCTAGACCCTAAAACTAAACGCGTCCTGGGTATTAAGCATCTGAAGGGACGTGCCTTGAAGCCCATGTTCGTTCAATTGGTCCTGGATAGCATTTGGGCAGCTTATCAAGCCACCACAGGTGGTGACAAGGGCAAAGGGTAAGTTGACAATGAACCCAACTACCCTGTCAACACTGATATTGATCTTTATTAGTGACCCAGTGTTGCTGGAGAAGATCACCAAGTCGCTCAACATTAACATCCCGGTATATGTCTTGCGTGGACGCGACCCTAGGAACATTATGAATGCACTATTCTCTCAGTGGCTACCACTATCTACTGCCCTGCTGGTTTCAGTCATTGAATATCTCCCCAGTCCGCCCGCTGCGCAGGCCGCTCGACTACCGGAAATGATCAAAGCATCCCCTGGCGCTGCTTTCATTGCCGATGATATCAAGACTGCTATGGTGGATTTCAAGACAGGACCTGAAGAGCCTGTCGTGGCATACGTCAGCAAGATGGTTGCCATCCCGGAGAGCGAGCTTCTATCTAACAAGAAGCGTAGCGAAGGTACCATGGCTGCGGACGAAGCCCTTGAAATTGCGCGCCGCAAGCGGGAGGAGATTGCAAAAATGCAGGCGGAAGCCCGCAGTAATGGGCAGGCAGATGATTTTGAGCGCATGACATCAATTTTCGAAACAACCTCGTTGATCACTGAGACGACCGAGGAGCCAGAAGAGCCAGTGGAGAAGGACGACCCTGACCATCTTATTGGTTTCGCCCGACTCTATTCCGGAACCCTTTCGGTTGGAGATGAGATCTATGTCCTCCCGCCTAAGTTCTCCCCAGCCAACCCGCACGCCAACCCGGAGCCAAAGAAAGTCACAGTCACAGATCTATACCTGATGATGGGCAGAGCTCTCGAGCCCCTCAAGTCCGTACCAGCCGGTGTGGTATTCGGAATTGGAGGTCTTGCAGGCCACGTTTTGAAGACAGGCACCCTCTGCAGCCGACTGGATGGAAGTATCAACTTGGCTGGCGTTTCGCTCAGCATGCCGCCCATCGTCCGAGTCGCGCTGGAACCAGTCAATCCGGCAGACCTGAGCAAAATGGTTACTGGCTTGCGCTTGCTTGAGCAGAGTGATCCTTGTGCGCAGTACGAAGTGCTCCCTAGTGGTGAACACGTTATCCTCACAGCAGGTGAACTGCACCTGGAACGTTGTGTGACGGATCTCCGGGAGCGTTTCGCACGTTGCGAAATCCAGACCGGCGAGGCTATCGTCCCCTACCGTGAAACTATCGTTCACGGCCCCGAGATGGCTGCACCCAAGAACCCCGACCTTGGGCGTGGAGCCGTTTTGACGGTTTCCGCTTCGAAGCAAATGACGCTTCGTCTACGGGTGGTTCCGATGCCAGAGGCCGTGACGGATTTCCTGACCAGACAAGTCGGAACTATCAAGCAGCTCCAATTGGAGAAGCGCTCAGAGGCCGAAGCCAAGACAGAGACTGAGAACGCAGCCGAAGCTGCCGTTGACGGTACTGGCGAGGCTCCCGAAGGCCACATTCTCTCCAAGCAGGAGTTCCGTGAAGGACTAGATAAGCTGTTCAACGATGAGGTCAAGGAAGACAAGGAGCTATGGAAAAACGTCGTCAACCGAATCACCGCTTTCGGGCCCCGGAGAGTTGGCCCTAACATTCTGGTTGATGCAACTGCAGTCAACACCTGCGAGAAATTGTGAGTATAGCGTTAAAAAGAAGCACTGTGCATATCGTTCAGATCTAACATCCCATTTCTAGCTTGGCCGATGACGCCAAGCAACAGATTGACGGTGACAACCATCAAGCACTACTCGTGCGTGACTTCAACGACAAGATCGCGTATGCCTTCCAGCTTGCAACAGGCCAAGGTCCCCTGTGCCAGGAGCCTATGCAAGGCGTGGCCGTGTTCTTGGAAGACCTATCTGTGCAGTCTAGCGCAGGTGACGACCTTGACATGGGCCGGTTGACAGGCGAGTCAATCAGATTGGTCCGTGAAGGTATCTCGGCCGGTTTCCTGGACTGGAGTCCTCGCATCATGCTTGCAATGTACAGTTGCGAGATCCAAGCGACTAGTAAGTATTTCATTCCTTTACCTTCCTTTCCTTCCTTCATATTACCCAATATACTCCCACGCCATCATATACACGCTCGCAGGAAAAGCAAATTACAACTAACACACCATCTTCACCCCAAAAGCGGAAGTCTTAGGCCGCGTTTACGCGGTAATCACGCGCCGCCGAGGCCGCATTCTCTCCGAAATAATGAAAGAAGGCACGCCATTCTTCACGATTCTGGCGCTTCTCCCGGTAGCCGAGTCGTTCGGGTTCGCTGAGGAGATCCGCAAGCGGACGTCGGGCGCTGCGCAACCGCAACTGATCTTCGCGGGCTTCGAGGCTCTCGACGAGGATCCGTTCTGGGTGCCTGCTACCGAGGAAGAACTTGAGGATCTGGGTGAGCTTGCGGACAAGCAGAATGTTGCTAAGCGGTATATGGATGCTGTGCGCAGTCGCAAGGGTTTGGTTGTTCAGGGACGTAAGTTGATCGATGCGGAGAAGCAGAAGACTTTGAAGAAATAAGGTCTGTGTACTATCTACTCTGATAGAGTCCAAAATGGGAGATTTTTGCATTTCATTTGGGACTTTTTGTAAGGTAAATTGGATAGAAAATATGGATTGGTTGAGAATATCACTCCCACTACCTCTGTCGAGTCGCATTGAGCAGACTTGGACAAGACAGACTTATTGGAGGTTCACAGAAGATGAGAGTCTTCCGCGTGTTCTTCAAAAGAAAAACTTCAATCTTCCTCTCTTGACAAACACAGTCCGACATGGCATAGGTCTCGACCGTGTATACTAAGGAGGGTTACCCAGTAGGGTCTACGAGTAGCGGCGTTGACGCCTCTCTACTTGGAAAGACGAGTGAGGAGAAGCAGATCACAGGATGGCAGACTGAAGTCGAGGATCGAACGAAAAGGAAGGGCGGAAATGACATAGATTTTTCAATCATGTCTCCGTTGGGTATCTTATTCTGAGATCGTTATCAATGTCAATAATACACATGTTCATGAGTACACAGTGGCGTAGTTGGTTGAGTCAAACGCGGGGCGCTTCACAGCTGCGTGAAACTTGAAAGTCGTCATGCTCATGCGGGATGCTACTTGAGAGCATGGAACAAGTGTGGAGACTTGAAAGGCATTCCTCGCAGTGAGGTTGGGGGTGTAGTTTTGTTGACACCCATGTATCCCGTGTGTAGAAAGACAATGCTCTCAGGGGATGGGCAGATCTGCCTTGGACATATGGGTGGACGGGGGCAGTCTGCTTGATTGTTGCTTTTTGAACCGCTGTGCGGCCAGTTAACAGTAGAGGTAAATGGCATGAAGCCATTGGCTATTCAAAGAGAAAGCCAAAAGTCACGCAATGAAGGGGGACCGAGTTCGAACAATTGCGTGTGTTCAGAACGGCCTGGCAACCTTCCTCTGCTCACTAGTTCCAGTGACAGGGTCTCTCATTTCCTTCCAACTAACAGGGAACATCATGTTTCCAGCGTCGCTGCGAGCCATGACAACACCGAGATCATTGCGCGCAGTAGTGATGTAGTAAAAGCTCTGATCGCCAAGTGAGATAACGGAGCCGCGAACGATATCGCCGACGCGGAACATCTCATCCATCACGACACGGTCCTTCTCAACAGCCCGTACGTCTTCCTTCCGAATAAGTGCCTGGAAGCGCAGTTCGTCGGTGCTGCTGTGGTTCTCAGGGTTGGCGGCAGAGGTGAGGATGGAGGCGACATTGTCATTATCTGAGGCTGTTCGTGATTGGTCTTGGGATTGTGATGCTGATTCGTCTAGTACGACGAGGATTGAGATTGTGGCTTGTCTCTTCTGCACGCGGGTCACTCGTGCGAGAACGATGGAGTCTACGGCGGGGAGGGTGTTGTAGCGTGGCTTCGACATCATTGACGATGCGATGGCGGGAACAGCGGGCATTGAGCCTGCTTGATCTTTGGGAGGTATCCCTCTTGAAACTCTAAGGGTTGGTCTTGTCTGTGATTTCGGCTGTGCAAGGTCTGCAACCACAGGACCGGCGATGGAAGCGTAGATGAATGATTGTTGAACATGTGTGCCGGGGCCTGCAGAATATGTGGATAAAGGGCCGAGGCGTTGCCCTGGAATAGCGATAGGTGGTAGAGAAGCCATGCTGCAAAATTGGGGTTGGGCCAATTTTGAGGTGGAAAAGGTCTGGAGTTTGCAAAGGCAGCGAGTTTTCTGGAGCCTTTTTTTAGGGAGCTATAATACGGTCCGGGTTTAAGTTATTCCGAACACAGCTTGTATCCACACTATTTAGTACTTGACTACTCCGTACAGATGTACGACTCCGAATACTTCGAACTCATAATTCGATTGCAATTTGTCAATAGAAGAGTCCATCTGTCTGCAGGCAATTAATTATAGAGCCCATATCTAGCATGAATAAACAGTGTATGCGTCGAAACAACAAAGACAGCAGCACCGGCCCAGAAATACCATGGACATGTAACAACAACAGAAGAGATAAAAAAGAAAAGTCCGTATCACTCCAAATGCCCGCTGACGAAAGTGAATAAGTGGATTTAATGTCCATACAATACCCCTTGGCGGGGAAAGAAACAGAGTCACACAGAAAGGCTGACATGACACAGAAAGGACCGAAAAATAAAACAAGGGTGGGATAATCAGACAAAACGGGGGATTCAAGCTTCCACCAGGGTCTGCTTAGGACCAGCTCCAACCAGCTCAAGGCAGCGGCGGGCGAGCGTAATGACTTCAACCTCACCCTCATCGACATCTTCTTCGTCCGACTCGATATTCTTGTCGGATATAATCTTGACCAGGTGCACGATATCTTCGGATCGGGAAATATATCCAATGAGCTTCTTATCTTCGGACTCAAGCAGTTGGAGCAGGGTCCAGATGGCAATGTGCTGGAATGTTGGATCGCCACTGGCAAGGAAGCGATGGAGGTAGCCATGGATGCCACCATTGGCGTCTGCCCAGTCGCGAACGAACATCGAATAGTCGCCAACTACAGTTTTGTTAGCAGATGATAATAGGACGCAGAAAGACAGGAAGCGTTAGGGGGAAAGTAGAATACCTTTCGAGGACAGATTTCCCAAAGCAGCCGCGCTGTTGCCTTGCACCTCAATGCTCTCGGAGTTTGTCAGAGGAATCAAGACGTCGAAGACTCCCAAGTTGAGAAGGTGCGGCTTTAGCTCTTCGCTGAGGGCCAGCACAGCGATTGCAGCAGTCATCTCGGATTGTACTGTAAGGGGAACACGGAGGACCAAGTCCTTGCACTTCTGTACTGCTCCGGCCTGCAAAACAAGTTCTTTGTTGCGATCGGAGCTAGCAGCAAGGTTACGAAGCGTGGATATAGCATGGCATTGAATCTCTTCATTGTCAGTCGAGCCTAGGAGATCGACCAACGGCTTCAAGAAGCCCGCTTCGATAATAGGGGATTCATTAAGAGGATGAATAGAAATGTTGCGGATACAAGCGACGGCGGATAAGATCAGAGGAAGGTAGGAGGATTGTAGAAGCCGTAGTAGTGGGGAAAGACCCTTCGCCCGAACGATTTCAAGCTGGTATTTCTCATCAGAGGCGAGATTGCGCAGGGCGAGCGCCGCTTGGCATTGGACTTTCGGGGTGGATGAATCCATAAGATGAACTAATGATTGCACGAGGCGCGACTCGGTTTGGGCGAGTCGCTTGCGATTGGTCGAGTCGACGGCGATATTGCTAAGAGCGGTTGTGCAGTAGTACTGAACGTCTACGTCGGGGGATGAGAGGAGGTGCACGAGCACGGGAATGGCGCCGGCGTTGACAAGTTGCTGTCGGTTGTCATCTGGTCTTCATGTTAGAGAAACAGCCCTTTTCCAGATGTATCAAGCGAAATCGCTTACCCGAATGGGTCATATTGAGAAGTGCGCCCGTCGCATTTCGCTGAACACGCATATCCTTCGACTTGGCCAGGCGAATGAGAGGACCTAGAGCGCCAGAGCGAGCAATCTTCGCCTTGTTCTCCTCATGGGTCGCAAGATTTGTTATACATCCGACCGCATTGCACTGCACCTCAACATTGGGCGACATCATCTGGCGAATCAGGGGAGACAGCCCCCCGAGGGTGACGATTAAGACCTTGTTCTCACCTGCACCGAGTTAGCGACTCTGTGGAAAGCGGGAAAAGGAGATGGGTGACGGAAATGGGGACCAACCATTTACGGCGAGATTGCCCAGCGCTGCACTAGCAGCCCGTTGGACTTCGATATCTGAGCTTTGAAGTAGGAAGAGGATAGGTTCGAGGGTATCGCGATCGACCTCGCGCACATCTGGAGATAAGACGAAATGTCAGATTGCATCATTGCTATCCAGGCGGCGATACGCACCTCGCTCTGTGATCTCAGCAAAGGTCAAGCTAGCGCTTCTTTGCAGGTCGACGTTTTCGGAGTAAACTAGGGTACTCAACGCTCGTAGTGGCTCACCGTGGAAGAAGTCGGTCTCCGCGCGCTGTGCATTGTTGAAGGTCAGCGGTATGCTCGGGGCATGGCGGTACCCAAGCGAATGCGAACCAAGTACCAGACTCTGATTCAGGGAAGGGAAAGGTAGCGATGTAGAATGATGAATGGTCTAGCACGTACATTCTCCAAGTAGCCCAGAAGATCTGATACCGCTTCTCGCTCATTATCGGCCAGGGTGGTTTCGTAGATACCGTCTCGAGAACGAGCTCCGATGGGACCGAGGCATGCTGTAATATGACACCATCGGTCCACTGCTGCAAAGCAAGACAGACAGGCAGTCGCAATTCCACTCATGCTGGCTAGCAGGCCCGCATCGGGCGCGGTCTGGCGAGGACGGAGATAGATGCGAAAGACGGTCGGGAAAGGTAAGATTAAGGAAGTCGAATAAAGTCGAAGCTTTGGAGGGAAACACAAAGAAAAAGCCGCGTGATATAAAAGAAAGTCACTTTTGGAGGGAAGCCTCCTGATGCTTGAAGGAAGGAAGTTCCAAGCCTCTCATTAAGGGAGGGGGGAGAGAGAGATCGAACTAGTCTCCTCAGGCAGAAACTTGAGATCAAATGGCTTTCTATGTTATACGTCTGGGATCGAATTGACTATCTCAATCTTATGCTTTTCCTTTTTTGATATCATATTTATTATCTCCAAATGATGGTTTTAAGACTATTTATTTTTCCATTCTAACAAGCGCCAGCTCCAACACATACATCATCGGCCCCCGGGGGCCCGGGGGGAGCTCTACGCTGACCAATCCGGGAAAGGGGATCAACTGCATCTACAAGTACAATAGTTACCTACAATAGTACGTTATACAACATATCTATATACAGCTTCTACTCTGTTAAAATACTTTTTATATCACTTTATATCGGTTCCCCTTTTACCTACTCGGGCCGTCCAAAGTGCACTTTCCAGCCTCCCCCCGAGGGTCCGTGCAACACTATACACCAATGGAGGCATCACCTTTGCTCTTGTGATTTTATAAGTGACGCAGATGATCACCAGATAGAGTCACATCTGGATAAGGTCATGTTGGTCTTAATCTTTGGAGATCAGGATTTGCACTAAAGTGTATCACATGGAATGTTTTGTAGGTTGGGGATATCTTTCAAACTAGTTTATTTAGGTTAACTTGTCGCTTCCTTATATTTCAGTATAGATCTAACAACATGGAGTATTTATGGAGTATACATGCACAGGTGGTTATATGGAAGCATGGACCACTTACCTATACATGCTGCTTCCTACTATGTTGTACATGAAGTAAGGACGCTTAAATATGCCTAAGCCTTGGCTGTCAGTCTATAGTATGAGTATAGAGTCAGTCCTATACTTGGGAATATTATTCTTCATGTTCATATTCATAAATTATATGATACTCTCTCTCTTTATTATACTTTACATAGATACCAATAGTATTCTATGATGAACATAACCTCCATATGTCTATTAGTATAAGTATGCGGGGAAATAGCATCGCCAAGGAATGCTGACTGTCATTAATAGCCGATGGCAAATGGGCAAATACCCAAGAAAGAGAAAGAGAGTCTATAAAACAATATACAATCAAAAAGGGCTAAACTTCCCAACTCTCCTTTATCTCTCTTCCAATTTGCTTGTTTTTCTCTCACTTCTTTGTTAGTCTCTCTCGAATTTCCTTCTCTTTCTTAAGATCCTCCCTCTACCCTAATCATATGATGCCTTGGTAAACCCCCCCATTGAATAGCATCAGCCCAGTTGCAGATCCTACCTGTGACGTGCCCTCTTAAATCTCTGGGCATTATTTGATTGTCTGTTGAATTCTTTCCATGGTCGCCAAATCGAATCCATGTCTACTTCAGTCACCGCCTCCACCTCCCTACCTGACAGCCCTCGCCCCAGTCGCCTGCGCCGCTTCAGTTTACGAACCTACACTCAGAATCTGTCCTTGCCCAGCGGGCAGCGCTCGTATAGACACAGTTTGAGTAGTCGAGTTCCTTGGCGGTCCTCGAATTCGGACTCCGTCTCTCCAGCGAACTCCACAACTTCCCCATGCCCTGAAAGTGACCACCCAACGCTTTCTCGTTACACCTCTGCGCCCGCCCCGAGTTACGGCTTTGGTACCGAACTCAATAGCCAAGTATCGTCCACCGAGTCCGCCGCTTCTACGCCTTCCAACGACCTTACTCAAACAACCAATTCTATGGCGCGCCTGAGGAGTATTTCGGCCGTCCATCGTCCGCCACCTCGCACGTTAGAACGTGCTACAACCAACTCCCAGGAGTCCACCCCATCCCCTGAACCGGGCCCCGCTCAAAGTAATGTGAGCGAGCCCACCAGCGCTCCTGCAGACGGGCAAGTGACCCCCTCAAAATCAGAGACCAAGGCGACGATCCGGTTCTTCCCCTACCAAGACTCCCTCCAGAGTTCGAGGCCCTCGTTACCTTTCGTCCCAGTCGCCCGAACCCTGCCATCAGAGAGCTGTGTTATTCGGGTCGGTCGATACTCGGAGCGTGATGGTGTACCCCTCCCCAACCCGACCGAACCCTCGGATGCCCCCGTGGGGTTCAAGTCGAAGGTCGTTAGCCGGAAACACTGCGAGTTCTTGTACGTGAATGGACAGTGGCACATCAAGGATGTTGGTAGCTCTTCGGGAACATTTTTAAA